CAATTTTCCATGATTGGGGCTGGACTCCATTTGCAAAACACAGGCGAAACAATCTAGCCAGCGGATGTGCTAGTTCAGCTGCACACTCCTTGAGTACTCGTCCTGGGATCTCATCTGGACCAGTGGATTTGGATGTGTTGAGACGCTTCAGGCACTGTTGGACTTCAGAGACGCGGAAGCGGATGCGCTGCAGGCCCGGAGTGGTAGTGCGGGGTGTTGCTGGTAACTCAGCATTGTCGATGTCATTATTCCCAAGGCTACATTTTTCAGCAAAGAATCTAGCAAGGCACTCGCTCTTGGCTTTCGATGTACTGTGCTCGTGCCCGTCAGCATCAGTGAGTGTTGGCACGTCTGTAGTCCTACCCAGACCGGCGGCGCGCTTGACATTCCTCCACCAGTCCTTGTCTCTCATGGAACCACGTGTGAGACGCTCTCGGACTGTCTGCTCTTCAGCTTGTTGTGCACGATGTTGGGTTGTAATAGATTGAGTGACAGTTGTCATGAACGACTGCTTCAGGCATTCGCTGGGCCCCTGGTGACGCCAGGCCTTCCACGCTTTCTCTTTGGCACGTTGAGCCTCAGTGCATTCTGGTGTCCACCAGCTCGGATCGGACGGCCTTGTTTCCAGCATCTTGTGGGGAATAAACTGCAGCATCCCAGACACGATGTGCCTAGTAACAAGGCTGCATGCTTCCTCGCTACATTTCTCCGCGAAGTAGTGACCGAGGCAGTTTGCTTTCTCAATGTTCGTGGCATGTTCTTTGCCAGCAGGGTCGACAAGAATCGGGATGGAGCTATTTCGGGAGGTTCCGATGGACTGCTTGATGGTTGACCACCACTGTTTGTCTCGAAGGCTGCCGGTCTGGAGTCGTGCACGGACTATTGCTAGATGGTGATTCTGGGCATCACGTAGGCAATCAGAAGACCGATGGACAGCGAGAGTATAGTTAGCTTGACATTGGGGCGAGTCTGGTCGTCTCTTGAGGGACTTCCAGGCACTCTGTTTCGCCTTCACGGCCTTGCTGCAAGCTGGCGTCCACCAAGCGGGATCAGAGGGCCGAGTACAGAGAAATTGGGATGGGATAAACTGGTTCATTCCATCTAGGATGGCAGAGGTAATATTGGTGAAGCTGCTGTTTGCATCCTCAGACATGAGGGCATCCCAGTCCACACTCCTAAGGTGGTAGTTTAGTCTGTCCCAGTCAGCGCGGCCAGACTGTTCTGGCCGTCTTGGGCTCTCGACATAGTTCTGTCTTGAATTCTGCCAAGATGGTGGCGTGGTCAGATCTACCGATTGGGGGGCCGAGCCGGGCCGTCGGGTTGCCCAGGTCACTCATAATGAGGTCGAGGAGGGCATTTCCACGAGTAGGCTCCGTCACATGCTGCTGGAGGTGATGTAGTGCGCAGAGGTCCTCCAGTTTCTCCCCAGCTGGAGTTGTTCTACTGCTGCCCAGCCAGGCAGTGTTGTGCGCATTGAAATCGCCAGCGATGATGAGGTGCTGTGCATCCACCCGGGCAACGCCAATGGTCTGGTCTAAGTAATCTACCATACTGATATCGTTGTCAGGAAGAGACCCTGGGCGGTAGGCAGCACACAAGACAACTTTGCGGCCAGGTCTTATGCGGATAGAAAGCCATACAACTTCTTGATCAAGGGTTGGAACAGCTTCCAGCTCTTGGAAAGCTAGGTGGGATTTCACCCACACAGCCACGCCTCCACCCTGTGGTGTTCGGTCTCGTCTTACTGGAGGGGAGTACCCAGGAAGAGTCACTTCGGCTTGCGTCATCTTATCCAGGGTCAGCTTCGTTTCTGTGACTACAGCAATATCTGCATCAGATGCCAGAAGGGTGTGCTGAAATTCGCCAAACTTTGAACGGATACCAAAGGCATTCGTAACCAGCAATTTCAACGTCTTACTGGTCATTGCTCAGGAGAGGGTCGGCAGGTGGGAGACTATCATTGTTCTGAGGAGGAGGGTCAGACTTGGTGATGTCATCAGTTTTGGCAGGTGGGCTAGAATTATCATGGCGTGCTCCACTGCTTTCTTTGAAACGCCATTGCCTGGCATAAAGTGGCCGGGGCCAGAAGTTTGCAGCGGTAATTGTAGAAACTGTTGCAGCGTCAACTGTCAGTCTCGCTGAGATTTTGCCCGTTGCTGATTCGTGCATACTGCAATCGTGCACATCCGCAGATGTCTTAACCGTAGCTACTCTGTGTTGCACAAACTCCCTGAGGCGTTCCTCGGTGCATTGGTCGCCTAGGTTGCCAACATACAGCACAGCTTTCTTCGCCCTGGGAGGCTCTGACGACACCATCTTCCAGCTGTCATCTGCGATCACCTGGAGCACGCACTGCTTCTTGCTCCGCTTTGAGTTCTGGACTGGTTGGAATCTGTCTTCGTCTACACAGGTTGCATCTTGGTCGCCATCCCCTTCACACTCGTCACTGCTACGGGAGATGTTGCAGGGGACGCTGCCATCCTCTTCACACTCGTCACCGCTACGGGAAATGTTGCTGGGGACGCTACGGGACATCGTGGTGTCATGCTTTCGAGTACCTGTACCCGCACTGCCTGCTTTGGTACGCCTACGCGAAGGTTGACCCGCACCCGTACCCTGCTGTGTTTGAACTGGCCTTGGGGTAGCTTTTCGCAAGGCAATGGCGGATTCTCGGAGAGACAATAGAGAGGTTCCGGGGTACGATTTTCCGTGCCAAAATCCGTATGGGCGCTACGGATTTTTTCCAGGCGTGCTCCATACGATTTTTCGGCACGAGAATCCGTGTGGACTGGCTTTCATACGAACCATGCTTCGTATGGAGATTTTGCGTCATCGGGTGCAGAAAGATTTTTCGCGTACAAATTTGGTACGAGAAACATCGATTTTTCGCGGGAAGTTTTGATTTCGGTACAAATTTTCAAAATAAAAAGGCATAGCGCGGGAAGGTGACGTGTTTGCGATCGTAACCTAGGCAATGACGGCAAACACATAAGTTCCGTACCCCGGAACTTTTCACTGCTCGAAAACGACGTATAAAAAATCCGTAGAGCCTCCACGGATTTTGGCACGAAAAATCGTACTCCGGAACCTCCCTAATAGAGAGGTTAAGTTACACGTTTTTTGCCCTTTTTCAAAACGCGGTGCAAATCTCACGTTACGTGTAATTTTTAGAGGTTAAGTTACACGTGCGACGTGACGTGAAATTTTGCCTGGCAGGATTCGGGTTAAGTTCGCACAAATATCAAATCTTCCAACAAACTTGATAAATCTCGACAAAAATTCCGGAAACTCACACAAATTCGGTCGGGATAACCAAGCGAAACTTCCAAAACTCACGTCATGAACTTACGTGCGGGACAGGCAACTCACGTAAAACACGTCAAATTTTACGTGAGTTTTTTCACTTTTGACGTAAAAGTTCACGGACGTAAGACTTTTACGTGAAACTTAACCTCTCTACTAACTCTTCGTTCACGTCTTTGAGCTGCCTTGACAGCTCGTCAACCCGTTTGTTTAAGCCTAGTTCACTTTCGACGGGTCGCGACGGGACGCGACGTAAGGATCGACGGGAAGCGACGGGACGGACTGACGGCGTCCAATGTTGTTGAAATTTTATTTTGTATCGCAGACCAAACGGGCAATGGTACCCTATATTATGATGGCGATAAAGTAACGGCCGAGAGCCAAGGATACAACAAGCAAGCCTCCACGAAAGAGAGAAAAACACAGAAAACACAGGCTGCAAATACTCAAAAAGAAAAAAGAGAAAGGGAAAAAAAGAAAAAGAAAGAAGAAGAAAGCACAGTTGAGTCACAGTTGAGTCACGACTCCAAGTCCAAGCCTAGATGCTGGCTAACCATAAAAATAAACCTTTAAAAGTCTCTTGAATGATCTATGGCAGGCGAGGGACTTGAACTCTTGGGGCAGGGCGTTCCATAATTTAACAGCAGAAACGAGCGGCCGACAGTCACCAGAGACTCGCCTGGTGGCAGGGACAACATACGCATTTGGATCGTTGATCCGAGTGACGCCTTCAGTCTGGCGACGTAGGCGCTTGGACAGGAGATTACTAATTCTGCCGGTGTGGATACGAAGCATGAGGAGGCGGAGTTTACAGTGGGCGTTTTGGATGATGGGGATGAGGCCTAGACGGGTGTAGATGGGATCTGTGTGGGAGGGGAATGGCTGGTTGGCAACGCAGCGGATACATCGCTTGTCGAGGACCGAAAGCTGATGCCGTTGGTGCGCAGAGAGAACCGAGAAGAAGGCATTAGATCCATACAACATGTCCGGTAGTATTAACGATCTGTAAAATAGCAGGGCTTGTTGCTCAGTTAAGCAGGAGCGAATGGCTCGCAGCGCCGTCAGTTTCTGGGAGGTCTTCCGTGTAATAGTTGCAACTTGAGTCTCCCACCGAAGCTGGGTGTCGAGATGTAGACCTAGATATCGAGCATTTGTGGTCTGAGCTAGGGGATTTCCATTGCATTCTATGTTAAGTAACAAGGGCTGCCTGCGAGACGCATGAAGGGCTAGAACGTGGGTTTTGGAGGGATTTAGTATTAAGCCTCTTTCTTCCAGAAAGTTGGCCAGGTTGGAGACTTAACGGGAGAGGGTTAAATTCAAGAATTCGACGGATTGACTGATGGCGTCTAGCAGGATATCATCAGCAAACAGCTGTGAGTGGGCTGGAGCTGTGATCTGTTCTATTTCCATTGTGTAGATGGAGAACAAAAGAGGACCCAGCACACTTCCCTGAGGAACACCACACTCACAGGGAGAGAGGGCGGACGACTGGCCATTGCTCAGGACGACTCGCTGACGGCGGTCAGTTAGGTAGCTCATGAACCAACTGAGAGCCGTTGAGGTAATACCAAGCTGAAATAGATCTGTAACCAAAATTTGGTGTTTGACCTTATCGAAGGCCTTGCTCATATCGACAAGTACAAGACCTGTATGGCGCTGCTGATCCGCTGCCTCCAAGTATCTGTCTACAGCCAATGTCAGGGCATCTTCTGTGGAGAGAAGTGGGCGATATGCGAACTGGTTTGCGGGGAACAAGGGATTTCCGGAGAGGAACTTACAGAGTCTCGTGTGGACTACCCGTTCTAGGACTTTGGAAACTATTGGTAATAACGATATTGGTCTATAGTTCTTAGCGACAGCTTTGTCGCCTGACTTGAAGAGGGGACGAACATCCGCAATCTTCAGAGATGCAGGAACAACACCAGAAGCCAGAGATGCATTGATTAGTATGGTGAGGGACGGTGCAAGGACAGGAGAACAGTGTTTGAGGATTGCAGCTGGAACCTGGTCGCTGCCTGCAGCTTTGCGCACGTCGATGTTGGAGAGCAGCTTAGCGATCTCTTGCACACTTGCTGGAGCAAATTCTTCGAGGCATTCCTTCTTCGTGGGACCCAATGGGGCTGAGAGACGTAGTGGTCTAGTTGGGTCTGACACAACACCGCTGAATTGGTCACTGAGCTGTGAGACACTGACGGCTGGTGGAACTGAGGACTTGTTACGACCGCTGAGGTAGTTGATGGTCTGCCAGGTTTTTCGTGCGTTGGCCTGACTAGCAGCAAGAAGGTCCCTAAAGTAGATGGCTCGGAGATGTCGTGACATACGCTTGGCTTCGTCTCGGGCAGAAGTGAAGACATTGCGTAGTGCCGGGTCTGCAGGTGATGCTTTCCACCGTCGATGGGCCACGTCACGTCGCTGGACTAGGTCATGTAGAGCTGGCGTCTTCCAGGGGAAGGATTTCCGGGTAGGAGCTCTTGGGCGGTGTAGACGGATAGGAGCATGAGTGTTCAAGGCCGCGACAAGTTTCTCCAGCCACATATCCCACATTTCATCTTCTGTCCGCGCAAAGCAGAAGTTCTCTAGATCGCTATTTAGAAGGTGGTGTGCAAATTGACCCATATCAATTCTTGCAATGTTACGGCCACGTCGCACGGTCGGTGTGCAGGACGTTGTGAGTCGCAAATCAAGTGCCAGAGCGAAGTGGTCACTGATTGTACAAGGTACTACGACACAAGAGTTCACATGATCGTCTCCGACCAGAGCGAGCGAGATCCAGGGTTGTTTGGCTGCCTTGGGGTCCAATAGGGCTTGAAAGTGCTACGTCACAGCATAGCAACAATTTCAAAAATTCGAAAACTGGATCCACTTGGATCCAGTTTTTGTATGGATCCAAGCACATTTCAAGCGGTCTTACCCACAGCATGGTGATGTAGCCAGTGAAACTGACTGATTTGGCTACTGGGGGCGGAGTTACAACTGGTGGCGAAATAAAAGTCACACCTGCATGCGACATGAGTGGGTTGCTATGCACCCACATACTTAGGCAATAGCAAAGTCACACCTCAGTGGATCCAAAAATAGAAATCTGATGTCAACTTACTACTCCCTGGCCGTTTTGACGTCATCACTTTCAAGCCTATTCTGGTAGGACTGTCCACTTGGTTCTTGATGTCGAAAGAATTACACAGGTGCAGCAAGCTGTTTAGCTGGGGGCTGTCGCGGGAGCTTACATCGACATTGAAGTCTCCAACAAGGACCAGAGGTGATGTGGGAAGTGTGGAGATGACAGTGTCTAGTGCATTCGTCAAGTCTTGCCAGAATTGCACAGGAGTGCCTGGAGGACGGTACACACCACCAAGGAGAACCTTGGAACGCTGCCCACTGACCTCTAACATGAGCATTTCCACCTGGGTGTCAGCCTTCACAATTCGGGCTCGGAGATGATCTCTTACATATGCTGCTAAGCCTCCACCATGAGTTGGCCTGTCGCGTCTGACCAGGGTGTAATTCTGTATGCGTAGGATGTCATCGGAAACGGAGGTTGTTAAGAAAGTCTCTGCCAGCATCATTATATCAACCTTATGGGAAAGAATATAATCTTCAATGTCATGCTTTTTATTGAGAAGATGGCAAACATTTAGGAATCCTATTTTGAGGTTACTTTTAATTAATTCATGCTGTAGGGGATTTACAGTGGGGCAACTATTTCGTGGCTGAAAGATAGGTGCATGAGGGTTCAAGGGTTGAAAGGGGGCTGCGTGAGGATTTAAACAGAACATTTAGTGCTCCTCTGCAGCTCGACCAGTTGCTACACTGTCAGCCTTGAAGCGCCATTCTCGAACTCTGACGTTTGAAGGCCAGAATTCCGGTTCCAGAACAGTAGCTTTGTGTTGTATTGGCAGAATTACGTGAGCAAAGGCCAACCCGAAGTACTTTGTCTCAGACACGGAGCACTTGATGACAGGTATATTTCGGCGTTCACACCATTTGGCGATCGATTCTGATGTGCACCCACTATTGACATTGCCTACATACAAAGCGCAACATTTTGTGCGGGATCCTCCCTGTAGTTGATCAGAGCGCTTGGGCCGGTTTTCATAGTACGACGTGACCTGAGTGCCTGGGTGACTTGTTTGGGGTCGTGTAGTACTGGCCTGCTGGCTGGGGCCTCCCCATGTGTTATCCCGTGCTCGCACCTGTGACGACTGTGCACGTGCCGCCGCGCTGTACAACCTGACGCTGTCAGCAGGCGGTTGTACACCGGTACACGTACGGGTTGAGGTTCAGGTGTGCTAGTTTGTACAGGGTCAAGATCAGAGTTCCTTTCTTTGAGAGCCGCCAATTCTCCTCGAAGGGACGACACCTCCAACTGCAAGGCAGAAATTAGGGCTACCTTGGCGGCCAATTCTTTAACATTTTTTGCAATATCGGCCAATGCCTGCTGAACAACATCGCGCACCTTGTCAGACTGACCTGCTGAGTTTGTCGACGAACCAATACCGTTGTCGCGAAGAAGCTTGACTATCTGGGTACGGGAAAGTCCCGAGTGTTCCAGTCTGTGACTCTTGGCGAGATGCCGGATCTCCTGATTGTCCATCACAGCAAGGTCTACATCTGCTGGTGCGGTGGGTGACTCCTCAGACGACATTGTCACATCAAGGGGCCTGTTATGCCTACCTCCAGACCGGCCTAGTGCCGGTTGGGCTTGAAAATTTGCAGAGCTCAAAAAGTCACAACTGCCCCGTACTCTGCATTCAAAACAAATGTGAACACCAGGAACGGGAACGCAACCGTACTACCGTACAGATCGGGAAGCGACGGGAAGAGTTGGATCGATCCAACTTTTCATACCGTAGACGGGCGTAGAGTCGTAGACGGGGACGCAAGCGTACAAAACGGCTGCAAGAGTGTGAACAGGAGACGGCGTCGTGCGCCGACTACTCCCGATTCGTACTTGGAAATTTTTATCATTTCGAACACTGCACTTCCCATGATAACTCACAGAATGGCTAGCACGACTTGAGTTGAATTTTAGCAACATAAGATCTCATCTCACTTATTGTATTTAGGGATAGTTCAGGAGCGTGACAGACGAACTATTCTATCATTTCCTGGGGCTATTATTTGAATGCCACAACTTTCAGAGCTAATTTTTTGGTCTTCATGAAAAACTGGTATTGTGAACTTGATTCCGTTTCATTCAAGGAGAAAAGAAGTCCCGAAAAACGAGAAATTAGGTCCAAAAGTCGCCCCGTCACGGACCGTGCCTTATGACTCGCGCCGTTCGACGTTGAACGTCGCAACGACTGCTGCATGTCGTGTCGTACGAATCGTACAGGATTTTACAGCTCACCCCAGCCCTCCCGACAAGCCAGTAACGTCCCGTACCGTCGACGTTGCGTCGAATGTGAACTAGGCTTTAGGCGCGTCTCCCGATCAGCCGATTCCGAGACAAGTGCGGCCAACGTTTTCAGGATTTCTACAACAGATAACTCAATGCCCGGCAACGACGCCATCAGCCTCAGCTCTTCATCACTCAGGGCAGTCGCGCGAGTGTTTGTTCTCGTGGTGGCCCCAGGCATGGCGGAGGTCACCAATTTCTACGAGCACTACTAGAAAAACATTGCTCATGACAAGCAAGGTCCCGGGTTAGAGTCCTGGTGGTTCCGTTGTTTTTTTCTCTTTCCAGGCAGGTCACTTCCCCGACTGATCCTTTGAATAAAACATAATAAGGCCATCCAGAATTAATTCGTTGTTTCGGGTCACCCGACCGACCGTCTTTTTTCACCCGACCGCAAAATGTTTTTTTTTATAGTGCATGCAAATGTACAGACTAGACTGTACACACGCGACCCTAATAATAGCAGTCCAGATATCGACCTCAGATTCAGAAGCAGCCATGGCTAGCCAAATGGCAGGATGCAGCGCTTGGTGACGACGTTGTCTTCTATCTCCGATCCGCAATCGGCCCTGAAACAGCATCAGCTCCGCCACCTTGTCGCTATTTACAGAAGTTTTCAAGGTGAGAGCTGCTCGCTGGTCAGACTCGTTTGCCAGCGAGGCCAAGATCTGGTCGTGGAGGGGACCTGGATCTGATGGGACAATGACTGCGCTGGACTGTCTATACTACAACGGAATCTACAGTCAGATTTGATCGACTGGCTAGATGGACAAAAGGCATTCGATGTACATGTACGTAACCAAAATAAAAAATAAAATAAAAAATAAACCCGACCGACCGACCCTGGTACGGCAGAGAATTTCAAGCATAAATCATGCAATTGATCATCAAAACGGAGTGTTTCCGTTCCAATTGGTTGCTAGCGGATATGCATGTAGAACTAATTGAACAGCAAGTGGAGAAGTAAGATGCAGAGAGCAAAGAGTTCGTGCCAATTTTGACAAAAACTCATTTTAAAAGAGACAGACAGTGCAAACTGCATGTACACGTATGCCTAGTACTCCGCACACACTAACTTTATCAGTACAATCATGTACAATAATGTACTTGTACATGCACACGACTTGGGCTCCAGTACATGCATATGACCTGTATTACACTGGCATGCATTATTACTGCATTCAGGCATGAATAATATGCATGAATAATCATGATAATGCATTAATACATTTTCATCCAGATTGAGAAATGCATCAATAGGCGCCACACTTACGCTAGCACAAATCCAACGGCCCTACACTGCGGAGCACAGCACACAGCTTCAACGTCATAAAACTGAATGCAAATGCAAATGCCAATGCAGCAGCAGCAGCTTCAGTAGGTCGTGGTAGGATACAGTCAAGGTCCGAGGATTGATTAGTATCGCTGATACTCAGCTGGGTCTATGACCGCACTTGTCCGACATCTGCATCAATCAGTGCTGTAGTGTAGGAGTCAGCAACCTTCAGGAAACTCTCCAGATTCTCCATCACTTGGCTGATGTCATAGTGATCGTTTTGCACACTCCTCTTCAATACCCTCACTTTGCTCTTAATCTCGATCACGAACTTTTGCAGTGAAGTAAGGTTGCATCCGACTATGCCTTTTTGGAGATCATTTCCGTGCTGCTGCTCACGTTCGACTTCTTTCCGACGTTCATCGCACTCCTCTTTAGTGCGTCTGTAGCTGTACCAGTATGAGGCTTCCAACATAGCTCCTAAACCCGCTGCGCAAAACACCGCACCTGCGATGACTTTTATGGTTCCCAGGCTGATGCCCAGTGTTGTCCCAAAGATTGTCAGTTTCGCCGCGGCAACAATGGATACGGCCGGTGCAGCCATGAATGCTAGGCCAACAATTGCTACTAGTGCTAGCCCTGCGGCCCACCACCATTCTCCATCTTCCGCATCAGCAGCCATGTTCCTGGCTAGCTCGATTTCCTCGTGGACTTTTTTCAGTTTGACCATCTGCTCTTCCAAGGCCGTCTTTGCTTCTGGGAGAGAATCTGTGTTGACGATCTTCGACTTGGTTAGAGCTTTTTGGACGTCGTCCACGGAATCCTCGATGCATTCGCAGTAGTTCAGAAGCAGGTGGTCGCTTGAAAGCGACTGCTTTCCACTCGGCGGCAAATCGTTGGCGAGTTCTCTGAGTTTCTTGGGAGTGAGCCTGGATATCTCCTTCAACAATTCCTGTTCCTCAGTCACAGCAGCGAATGATGCCTGCTCGGCTGGGTTCGACAATCCTTTGACTACAGCCAGTAGTATCTTCGCACTGGAAACGGACTCGATTTGCTCACGAGTGACGGTGTCTAATCGTTGTTTCTTTTCTCGCTTGCCCCAGCCCAGTCTCTCGAGTTGTTTGAGAACGGTGGGAATAAGGTGCTCCCATTCTAGTATATTCCTGCCCAGACACTCTTCTAAATTCTTTTCATTGCCCATTGCCGGCTCTTACTTCGCTTGAGCTTTCTACGCTCACTGATCCTGCTCTGCGGGCGCCTGGACACTGTACTTCTCATCGACTGATGCCCAGGATTATAAAGAACAAGCTTGGAAGACCAAGGATTATCATGATAATGTACAGGTACAATAACTATTAGTTACTTGCTCTGTCCGTTGACGTTGTCCTTGTACGAAACACGCGCCAAGTTTGTGAGCCAATGAACGCAGTGGATTCCGTTCCTGCCCGTAGTCAAGTGACAACGGGCAGTAGAAGTAAAGGCGAAGGACTAAAGGGACCGTCACTTAATTTTTGCCGACTACCCGCCAAAATTTTTTTTTCGTTTCACGTGTCAGACACGTACGCGAGCGCGTAGATCTACGACTCGCGCGCCCGCGCTACCTTTCACGTCAGGCAATCTGTTCACGCCACATGGCTGGATAGCGCGTCCATGCAAACATGATTGAAGACTTGCAAAATCAATTTTTTTCCAAGTCCAGGCGCTATGCCTAGCCTAGCGCCTAGGCAGTAATAATGCCCAGGCAGCTGACTTTATTTTCGGAGAAACACTACTCATTGTAGTAAAAAGTAACAATGAATAGCGATATCATCTAGGAAGGATCGCTACCCTAACGCGAAGGAAAGGCCTTGCGCGGCTGCTCTACGAAGTGTTGAAGAAAGACTCATCAAAGTTAGTTGGTGGACGAACAACTCGCTGGCGCCGGAAAACTTGGCCCCCAACGATGGTGTTTGGTGAATCATCAAGCATAATGACGTCTTGTAGCAGTGTTCACCGAGGAAGGAGAACGCTCTAGCCGCTGCTGTTGTCCGTTTCATCCACGTTGGGCGTTAGCTGCACCGCGCCTATTGTGTTTTAGTATTCCATGGACACACATTAGCATTCAGAGCGATTGTGGAGCCACAATTTACTTCACACAGCGTTGTATTGTCCACGAGCGCAAACTTCATTATCAGCAGTAACTGTTACTCTTCATCCTACATGTAGACTTGGAGTATACACGGCCTTGTCACGACAGCGACAGCTCTACAGAGTGTTCAAGTGAGAAACATTAATTTCTATTGTTGGTGGACGAATAAATGGCTGGTTCCGAAAAAACGCGGCCTGCACCGATGGTGTTTGGTGGATCATCAAACAGGGTGACCAGCAGTGTTCACCGAGGAAGGAGAATGCACTCGCCACCACTCCGATTCATCCAAGTGGGCGTTAGCTGCGCCGCGCCTATTGTGTTTTAGTATTCCATGGACGCACACTAGCGTTCTCAGCGATTGTGGAGCCACAACATATCTTCATGCGGCGTTGCACTGTCCAAGAGCAGAAACGTCAGCAGTGACCCATCATCATACATGTAGATTAGGAGTATACCCACCATGCGCCAATGGGCCTTGGCACAACAGCGGCAGCTCTACGGAGTGTTCAAGTGAGAAACATTTGTTTCGACTTTTGGTGGACGAACAAATCGTCGGTGCCGAAAAACGTGGCCTGCGCCGATGGTGTTTGAAACATCGAGGGCTCCGGAAGCAGCAGCTGAGCCAGATCAGCCAGTCTTGCCAACTCTCAGTTGCCGGACTCCGTGCTGCAGCTAGCAGCACTGGCACCAGCCGGAAATATTTTTCCGCCGATACCCGTTACTTCCAGTTCTGTCAAGGACATAACTGGAATCCATTGCCAGGTGATGACTTCTTTCTTTATGTGTTATTTTGCTGCCGAGTTGTTCAGAACTTTTCAGCCCCGATCTGTCCATGTCTACATG